GGAAATTAACATGCCCGTTCCACCACCTCGGCCAGATGCACGAGAAAGTGTGGTTAATTGAGAGCCACATGGTTTGATCCAGGTCTCAGTGAGAGCTAGTGCATCGAGTGACAGGTGGTTTGCATATGCAGTAATGAAGTCTGCTTTGTTTACAGCTGATTGGCAGTTCCACAGTCCCATAGACAGGTGGGTGTCTTCGGGGGGAGTTGGTTTTAGCGAGCGGAGGCTTTGAAGGTTGCAAAAGCGGTTTGCTGTGTGCGACTTTCCTCTGAAGCCAGTGATCACAGGTATAGGATAATGGCACATTTTGCTAGGTGTCGATGGAGCAGCGCCTGGGTCGAGTTTGTTTGCTCTGTGTACCTGCTCTGTGGACACGCGCAGGTAGACACGTATGTCTTTACCCCGGAGTGTCTTCACACCGGAGGGGCTGAGACACAAGGGCTGACGCTTCCGCTGACGCATTAGTTATGCCACCAAACTCTAAACAAATTTAGACCATACTGGCCCCTTGGTTTTATTTCATTGTACATAAAAAACATGAACACATCAAATGAATATTATCCTCATTTTTTTATGAAGATGGACACATTTTAGGCAGAAATTCCATTCCACAGAACACTTGAAAAGAATTTGCTTTATGCTATTATGTTTTTTATAAGTGCATATTTACACTGGTTGTTATGATATTCTGCTCTATGGTTTCTTGTGTATGTGACTGCCTGTTTCTCTATATATTACTGCTTTTTTGTCAAACACTTTGTGATTCTTTCTGCAAAAGCTGCTACATAAATAAACATTACTTACCGTAAATCCTCTAATACAGGCCCGGGCCTGTATTTGACTCAAGCTCATCAAGCTCCAGGCCTTTATTGGAAGGAGGGCCAGTATTAGAGACAGGCCTCTATTTCTATTTGAGCAAAATGAACTAATGGTTTGCTGGAGTTTTTGACAGTTAAAATTGTGCCCACATTTTCAAAGTTAAACACATTTCTTTTAACAACGGTAGTTTCTGCTTCAGCCCTCTCCCCCCTCCCCCTGCGCAGCAGCCGCAAACTCACTGATGTGCCTGCAGCCTCTCGGAGTTCCTGCTGCTCTAAACATTAAAATAATTATTTCATTTTCTGTTCCTCACTTCTGATGACCTTCAATGGTGTCTGTTTGTTGCAACAGCAGGTACAAAAACTAACTTGTTTTTATTTGACTATTTTTCTGTCCTGTCTGTTTATTATCTTCCTGCATCTCCTCTCAATCCTAAAGAAAAACTGCTGCCTGGGTTCATATATATTCACCTCATGAGTTACCTTTGAACTGCAGTTCTAAAATATCTACCGACCGCAAAAACAGCGGAGCGCTTGCTGTTTGGCGGCCGTATCAGTGATCAGTGCGTTGGAGGACAAGTTGATGCGCGCACCGCCCCGCTCCACAGCATGCAGCGAAACGCATCAGGCGCAAATAAAAGACAGAAAACATTAAAGGAATTGAACCGACATGAACGATCGCGTGTCAGTACCTACGGTCTGGCACAGCGCATTGCTGATCACAGAGAATGTGATCATACGATAATTCAATAGGGAGCGTGGTTTCACAGACGCGGAAGTGAGAGCGTCGGTGAAACGCCGGCTGCTCTAGGAAACCCCCGAGTGTTCGAGCGTCAACGAAGTGACACAGAAATGCCGGGCTTTCCAGAAGTAAGTAAGATAACTTACTATGAGCTGATAGTTCGTTGGATTGATCGGTAGGTTGGAAACTCTGATCATGAATCTGAAGAAACGATGACTGAGCTGTAAAGGCGACTTCCGTTTATAGCCGCGGTTTGTGACGTAGATGCGACGTGGAGGGAATCCCCGCGAGGGGCATGCTGGGAGTCCCTACTTCGCGGATTTTCACCTATCGCGGCCAGGTCTGGAACGCATCTACCGCGATAAACGAGGGATTACTGTAGTACATACACCCCCTACTGCTGCTCCCCATAGTGTTCTGCAGCATAATCAGCACGTTCTCTTTGAACTTGATAGTGTAATGACCTGGCTGGGGTTGTAAGCCAGGTGCATTCTGGGTATTGTGTTATATGTGTTTCCTATCGTTCTGCTAGTTCCTATGTGCTGATTTGCGTGTTGTGTGAGTGTTATGTAAGCCACAGGGAAGGTGATGTGTGTTCTGTGGAGCGGGTTGAATTAGCATGGTTAACTGACACCGTGACTCTGTGTGGTAGGAGCGTGATAGAGGATCGTGTCTGAAGCGTTATAAAGCTTGAAGAAAAAGCCTAGTAAATGTCTGCGTGAACCCCTACTGCCCCCTGCTGGTTGATTTAGGGACTATAACCCTGCCGCTGGGACGCTTGTACTTGCTTGTTACCACATTCCATCCGGCCACAATAAGAGACCGGCCATTATTTACCTCCGCTGACTCTGACACCGGCCAAAATTGGAGACCCGGTCTTTAATTGAATACCGGCCTGTATTAGAGGATTTACGGTACTTAGTTATTTTGTGTTAAATGTGTTGAGGTCAGGAAGCTGGAAGTTGTAGCTTTCCCTGACGTGTCTCCTTCCATCGCCATTCTCCTCCTGTCTCATATTATTGTCAATCTTTTCCCTCAGTAATAATACCACGACCATTTTATTTCCTAGAACTGCAGAAGAGATTTTATATGAATCATAGAGTAATTCACTGAGCTTTCTGTTATGAAGTTTACTGCAGATTGCTCCATTATATGCCCAAACAAAGGGCGTTCAATGTCTGTGAGATACTATAAGCTTTGAGCCAAGATTATAGACTGAATTTGTGTAGTTTCATCAAGTTTTCATCATGATTTATCCTTGATAACTACTCCTGAATGAAAACTGTTATGTACATATAAAACTGTAGAATAAATCAACAATTACTGCTGTTTAACCCTCTCAGGCTCAAAATAAGTTTTGATAAAAGGACGAACAACTAAGTCCTTCAGGGGTACTTCTGAGTTAAAAAATGCTCATGAAATACGTATGTGGAGTAACCAGGTAGGTAGGTTTTAACGTTGCAAATCTGCAACGCCTGCCTCCAGAGGGTTAATGTGATTTCCCAATGACATCACCAAAAACCTGAGCTGAAAAGCAAGTCATCTGCAAAAAAGTTCTAAAAAGTTAGTTTTTAAGGATTGGCAGCTTTTCTTCTGCCTTTTCCAATCTACCTTGGGGGGTCCCACAGGGCTCAATACTAGGACTTTTGCTATTTTCAATTTATATTCCTCCCCTGAGTGATATACTGCCTAGGTTTGGTATTAGTTTTCACCTCTATGCTGATGATGATTGCCAGCTATACTTGATAAGTCAGTTGATTGCCCTATTGACAACCTCTTGGAGTGTTTGGCTAAGGTCAAGACTTGGACGTCCAAAATGTTGTTGTGAGTCAATGACAGCAAGGCAGAGGCAGTAATATTCTGACCTAATGGTCGTGTTGATGCCACCATGATTGACTGTGGTGTTTTCAGCTCCCAGTTAAGGGCATCAGCAGCTAATCTCGGAGTGAGGATTGATAGTGCCCTCTGCTTTCATGGCCACAGTAATGGAGTGGTTTCTTCTCTTTTTCATTATTTGTGATGCTTGTCCAAGGTGAAATCACTCCTGACAAGATGTGATCCTGAGGCTATAGTTCATGCCTTTGTGACTGCATGCCTGGACTACTGTAATTCAGTCGTATTTGGTGCGAGCTAGGGTACTCTAGCTAGGTTGCAAATCATGCAAAACGCAGCAGCCAAATCTTTAGAAGGCAAGCAGAAGTTTGACTATGTCACTCTAATTTTAGCTGTGTTACACTGGCTGTCTCCTATTGGTCTTCAAAACTTTGAATGGGTTGCTGTCGTCTTACTTGGCATCCTTACAAAAACCTTGTGCCCCTGCTCGGACGCTACACTCAGAGAACCTTCTGCTGCTCTCAGCCCTTACGTCACACTTGATGAAGAGAGGAGATACAGCCTTTTCAGTGGCAGGTCCAAAGCTTTGGAACAAGCTTCCTCTGTCCATAAGTGCTTCTACCTCTGTAGTGATTTTTTTAAAGGCTGAAGACTTACTTTTATAGTTTGGCATTTACCTCTGGTTGCTAGTTTTTATTTGTTCTTCATAGATTATGTTCATATAATTTGTATGGTTCTCGACCGGGAAAGGGTGGCTTGCCAACTCCGGGTCAGGAGAGAGGTCCTACCGCAAGTGGAGGAGTTTAAGTATCTTGGGGTCTTGTTCATGAGTGAGGGTAGGAGGGATCGGGAGATCGACAGGCGAATTGGTTCGGCGTCTGCAGTGATGCAGACGCTGAGCCGATCTGTCGTGGTGAAGAGGGAGCTGAGCCAGAAAGCCAGGCTCTCGATTTACCGGTCGATCTATGTCCCAATCCTCACCTATGGTCATGAGCTTTGGGTAATGACCGAAAGAACGAGATGGCGGATACAAGCGGCCGAAATGAGTTTCCTCCGTAGGTTGGCCGGGCTCAGCCTCAGAGATAAGGTGAGGAGCTCGGACATTCAGGAGGGACTCAGAGTAGAACCACTGCTCCTCCGGATCGAAAGGAGTCAGTTGAGGTGGTTTGGGCATCTGGTCAGGATGCCTCCTGGACGCCTCCCTGGGGAGGTGTTTCGGGCATGTCCTGCCGGCAGGAGGCCCCCGGGTCGACCCAGGACACGTTGGAGAGGTTACATCTCCAATCTGGTCCAGGTTGCCTTGGGGTCCTGCCGGAGGAACTGGTGGAGGTGGCCGGGGAGAGGACGGTCTGGAGCTCCCTAGTTAGGATGTTGGCCCCGCGACCCGGACCCGGATAAGCGGAGGAAGACAACGATAACTTGTATTACTGTTTTATTGTATTTTATGTTTGTTTATCATTTTTTGTGAAGCACCTTGGTGTCATATCCTATGTAAGTAAGTTGCTATACATTTAAAGAATGAGTTGAGTTGAGTTTTTGAATCATTTTAAGACATCGTGGCTCAGATAAAATACCCCAAACATAGAGAAAGAGAGTTTAAGACTTACCAGACTTCCCAGTTTTGATGATGAGGAGTTGTTTCTGTGTTTCAGCAGACCACATCCCTCCACGCCTGGTGCTTCTCTGTGGTTTCCATGGACACGAGGCCCACCAGCCCCCTCCGATGAGGAGCGCAGACGTCTCTCCAACCGCATCATCTCATGGTAAGGGCTAGCGCCGCTACACAAAGTAGCTGGAGGACAGAACGAAACAAGAGAACCACCAAGTCAGACAGACAGAGACCAATTGAAATTAGATGTAAGGTTGACATATAATAATCTTTTTATTAATTTCTAAGGCAGTTAGTCAGACCTCTCTCCTCCGGGGAATATGGTTTCTTTCATAAAACCAAATGACTTAGCCTCTTTTACTTTTTCAGCTTTGTAAATGAAGTTAAATCTCCCTTCATGAAGCTGTTCAGCTATATTGCTTTTGCTCAAACTGTATTTACTTTTTTGAAATAATCAGGTTTATTCAGATTACCTACAGCAAGATGACTTTGTAACAATGAAACCCGGAAATGAATGTTGAATTTCAGGGGAAATACTCTGCAGAAAAGACAAGCAGAAGATTGTAGTAATTGCTCTACTGTGGTTTGCAGCAGACTAGAAGTGAAACAGAAGAATGATATCCTCTCAAAGAGCAAAAGGCTATTAAAAACAAAACAAAAAATCAGAACTCGGTGCCAGCTGTTTTCTCACTTCACCCCCGCACACTCACACTGTACACAAACACATCCTGTACAAACACAGCATCCACTGTATGTAATATGTATTAATCTATTAATACAACGCTTTGTGATTCATATCTGAGAAAGGCGCTATATAAATAAACTTTTACTTACTTACTTACTAATCTATTATCTTTGTTCTAGCTGTCACTCTGGCACACCACACAACAGATTTTCAAAGTTACCGTAGTTCTATTATTTTTCAGACCAAGTTATACCACAAAGGCCTGCGCTGGAATTAAAATAACAAATCAAATAACAAAATAAATTATATAAATGTTGTGTGTGTGTGTGTGTGTGTGTGTGTGTGTGTGTGTGTGTGTGTGTGTGTGTGTGTGTGTGTGTGTGTGTGTGTGTGTGTGTGTGTGCACGCGCGTGTGTGTGTGTGTCGGTGAGAGTGGATGCGTGTGTGGGGTGTGTTCTTGTATTTACTACAGTACATATTGGGGACCATTTTCACTACAATGTGGGGACATTTGTCAAAGTGAGGACATTTTTTTGGTCCACACTTTTTTTAGACGCTTACCAGTTGGTTTTAGAGGTATGGTGTGCATTAAGTTTGTTAAGGTTAGGGTTAGGAAAAGATCAGCATTGGTTATGGTTAGGGTTAGGGTATGGGTTAGGCATAGTGGAGTCACAAAAATTAATGAAAGTCAATGGAGGATCCTCACTATGATAGAAAGATGTGTGTGTGTGTCTGCTCTGTCTTCCAGATCCCCAGTGAGTCGAGGCGGATAGCTGCTTATACTGAGCCAGGATCCTCTGGAGGTTTCTTCCTGTTAAAAGGGAGTTTTCCTCTCCACTGTCGCTGCATGCTTGCCTAGTATGAGGATTGCTGTAAAGACTCTGACACTAGTCAGTGACTCGATGCAAACTACTGGATTCCTTATAGGAAACGTTTTACTGATTGGCTTAATGAACCGAACTGTATTGGAATGTTTACTTTGTAAAGTACCTTGAGACGACTCATCGTGATTTGGCGCTTTATGAAAAATAAACATTGTTGTGGAGTCAAACTGGTAGTTACACCAGTCCAATTGTAGCTCACTTCCTCTGAAAAAGATTTGCTCAAAATATTTTCTCACATTCGTACTGCTTCAGGTGGATCAGAGACTGGACCTTTTTAGCATTAAAACATATTCAATAATGCTAATTAATTTACTTTAAAGGGAACATATTGTGCAAAATTCACCTTTTGCATCCTTTTGTATTGGCAAGTGGGTCTCTACTGCCTTTATAATAATATAATAAAACTCCAAACATTTAAAAAACTTGTCCATCCACTTCCTGTCAATGTTTGGTTTTAGGAATTATGTGCTTTAAATGAGCCATTTCAAAAAGTCCCCATTCGTGGTGTCACACACGAGGAACCCAAGTTCCATGGGTCCCCTGACCGAAAAAAAATAATGTAAGTCAACAAAGCACTAAAGGTATTTTCTGGTCCACTTTTCCTTACGCCCCAAGTCACACATACTTTATGTTGGACTTCAACTTAAATGTAAATTATTGTGTGTGTGTTTCGACTATGTCACGTAATCTGAGATTTATTAGCTTGTAAAAATTCTTAATTAAAATGACAAATCAAACGTTGCCACTGCAAAACTCTTCTCCCCCAGCGTAGCTGCTCCTTACCACATGGACAGATTTATAGTGTGACGTTTAATGTTGCTTCTGTAGTCCTGGAAGAAGGATGTGAAACTTGCTAAACTCACAGCTATTTTTCTTCTCCTCGTCCTCCTTGTCTGGTTTGATTACATTAATTTGGTGAATCGAGAAGCTGGAGTCCACTACAAGTTTTCAGATAAACCTAAAAATAACTTTTGCCACCAAAATGTGTCATACTAATCACTTGTTAAACCCATGGCACATATCTAATGGCCTGGGGTCTCATTTATCAAACATTGCGTAGAATCCTTACTAAAACCGTACTTAAGCTCAGCAAAAAGAAATTACTTATGCCAAGTAGGTTTGTGATCTATTAAACATGGAGTACGCACAGCTGTACGCAATCTCCGCTTCATGAACCGGAGACTAACGAGAATGTTTCTCAGCTGCATTTTAGTCACATCCCACCCTCACCACGCCCACTTACTGCCATAAATAGTCAATGCAAAGTGCCTTGTGGATCTCATGCATATACATAAGCCGGCTGTTGCAGCGCTCCGCCAATGACATGGCGACCGTAGATCAAGGCAGATCAAGGAAGAGCAATTTCTACTCTTTGAGATACAATTTGTTTCGGTACTCCAAACGGTCTGGGTGTTGGAAAGAGTTGTTTCCAGAAAATGAGAAGGTCAAAAGTTAGAGTGCGGAATTTTCAGTTTAGAGTGGTAAGAGACGTTTTTATGAATTTAAATATCCTCAAACAAATTAACCGTACGACCACAATGTTTGGAGTACATTCATGATTTTTAGCTCAAAACGAAGGTATATCCGTTAGCTGCAAGCCAGCGTGCGTCTCATTTCAATCGGACTTACGGTTATCTCAAGACAATGCCAGAAATGGAGCAAAGGAGGGTCAATGCTCCTATCTCTGCCCATTATAATTTTTGTGATTTTTTCTGAAAATCTCAAGCCGTACCTCAACTTCTACCTGTGATTTTAGAAAAACTGTAATAGATATGTAAAAGATTGTTTAACCAGTAATAGCTGATGGTCTTGTGAGTTTGTCGAAACTTGAATGAAGTCTCTAGGTTAAAGATAACCTATAAGAGTAAGAGTTCAAAAAAGTGATAGGATTTAGCTGAAAATTGAGCAATCCCATTCATTTCAATGGGACCAAAAATCGCAGAAAAAGCTGAATATCTCAAAATGTAAAAAATATTTTAATACCAAAAGTCATTGCCGGCATAAGCTGAAAGAGCTGAAAGTTTTGATACCAAAATTATGTAAATAGTTGAAGAATTGTGAACATGAACGGGGTAACTATAAAGAGAAACAGGATCACTATAGTTTGAATGCTTTACAGCATTCAAACAATTAGAATATGCTGTAAATCAGAATTTAATTATAAAATAGTTGGAAAGAAAAGTTTTAGTGTTTATTTTTCTTATTTTTTTAGTTTTCTCACAGGAAAAATAATAATAAGGATCCAGAAATCTATTGATAAACTGAAATGCTTCATCCTCATTAGTGTCTCGGGGAGCTGGTGTCTATCTCCAGCAGTCAGGGGGCAAGAGGCGGGACACACCCTGGACAGGTCTGCAGTTCATCACGCTATCAGTCAACACTAATTGAAATTTGTTTAGTTCAGTTCGTGCAACTCCAAAAATTATGTTTTAACAAACTAACATGAACATTTGTTGGGTATTGTTTATTTCTTTATTCATAAGTAGTAAAAGTGAGCAGTAAAGTCTCAGTAATGCATTATTTCAGCTAACTAGTAAATATTTATCATCACAAAGGCAGTAGCGTTGCTGCCTGATTAAATCCCTCAATTAAAAACACAAGAGGGAGTCAGATGAGTGCAGCTTCAGAGATATGAGCTCCTGTCTCTCCTGTATCAGTGTGCGTCAGTGGTTTGAGTGTAAATCAGTTTCATTTGCACGTGGTTTGACTTTAGTTTTTGTACCTGCATGTGGTCTCCTCAAATGAGACGACCTGGGCTCATGGCAGCCGCAGAAGCTTCCTCTTTCTTGAAGAGAGCGTGTGTTTCTTGGCCTCCTTTCGTTCTTCTCTGGGTTTGAGTGACAGCCATCACTGCGAACCCCACACGCCTCGCTTTCACTTGTGGTTTCTGTGTGGTGGCCTGTCTGTCTCTCAAGTACCAACTCCATCTTTTTCTCTGTAGATTCTTCTTTCCTCGCCTCCTGTCTTTCCTCCTCCCTCTCCTTCCTCTCCTCCAGGGACTGCTCCTTTAGAGGTAGGCAGGCCACAGCCGTCTCTGGCTCAGAGAGCGAAGCAGCGGTTTCATAGTCCGTGTTGTTAGCTGTGCTGGTGTCAGGGTGCAATGGTTTCTCAGCACTGGACTGGGCTGGAGTGAAGAAAACCTGGAAGAAAAAGATGTTGTTGGATATGTTAAAAGTTTATTTTACTGACATTTACAAGTAAACCTATTAGTTAAAGTACTATGGCATGTTGGTTTCATTGTTGTTAAGCTCAAGCCTTTGCACATGAAATACAACGCAAAACTACCTGGGAAGCAGAAATTGCCACACTGAAGCCCTCAGGTGCAGGTGGGGGGTCAGGTGGAGCATGATCAGTAACCGGACCGAGCCCACAAGCAGGGTCTGAGGTTACACCAGGGCTGGGAGTTGGAAGAGCGTCCACCTCAGACACGGAGTCCTCTGTGATGGCAATAAACTCTGATGGGGTGATGGCTGTGGTTCGATCCTCTGATATCATAGGGGACTGAAGCGAGCTCTCACCGCCCGCTCCCATCAGCTCCCCGGGCCACGACCCCGGGGTGAGTTCTCCTGCCCCTGGAGTTATGGTGGTGGAGCTCGGAGGGTCCAGGTTGACTTCTGGAGGTCTGTGGTGGTCGGATGCACGGGAGAAGCGGTGGTGAGCGGAGAAAGATTTAGGAAGCAGCTGTTTCTTCTGGCGTGATGAGCGTCTGTTGTTGTTACTGCCTCCACTATAGTCATCAAGGAACCCGGAGTCGTCGCCTTCGTTGGCTCCCGAGCTGCTGATGCAGTTGATAAAGACATTCCGATTGGTTGTAGAGGAGGATGAGGAAGCTTTCTCAAACTCTTCCGTCTGAGAGCGTGAGATTTTCTTTTGCTTGTGGCTGCCAAAGCCAAACGAGTGGCGCGACTTTGGGCGCCTGCCACCTTCGCTGAACGCTGACACTGACGTTGATATTGGCTGCTGGTTGTTCCCATTCGCGTCGGTAGTCTGAGTCAGGGGAGGGGTGAGGTTAAGATTGATTGGTTGGACGCGGGGATCGCTGTTCCGCTTTGCTGCAAAACTGAGAGACGGAGCTCGGAAAAGGCTCCGGCGTTTACCGGTGCTGCCAGAACTGGAGTTGGTGCTGGAAGGTGAGGAGGTGTGAACGCCATTACCAACTCCCCCTGAAGACGGAGAGGACGGGAGAGAATCCTGCCTCTTATTGCCACTACGGCGGAAGATTGGCAGGCGAGAAACAAGTGTAGAACGGCGGGAGCCTGATTCGCCCATCTAGATGCTGAGATGGAGCGACACTCTAGAAGAAAAAAAAGAGACAAAAGACAAAACACAGCTGAACATAAATAGGTTGAGCCAGAATTCAACTTATGTTTATTTATTTGGCAGACGCTTTTATCCAAAGCGACTTACAATTTATAACCTATAGGGCATGTTGTGATCTGTGGGGAAAACCGGAGTACCCGGAGGAAACCCATGCCTGTATGGGTAGAACACGCAACTCCACGCAGAAAGGCCGCAGCAGAGTTTCGAACCTGCAACCTTCGTGCTGCGAGGCAACAGTGCTAACAAATGCGCCACCATGCAGCCGCTAATACCTCATTGGTTCTCTCTGCAAACTGTGACCAGACTTTACTTGACAATATGTTCTCTGTACGTTCCCATAAACTAACAAACGTAGGACCCGTACCTTAGAACACTGAGGAAGAAAAAACTGCTTTCTTTTTTTTATGGATGCATTAAAATTCAGTGCAGACTGATTGCAGCTGGCATTTCTTGCCAAATGAGCTGAAAAAATTCTTGCAACATCTCTACCCTGTTAGAGAATTCTGATGCAAATGGTTCTGTTACATTTAAAAGACTGATTTTAGCCGTTCAGTCATGGAAATGCACCCAAACACAAAACAGGGTTGTTTACTCAGTTGCAGCATGATTGCCGGTGTGAAGATTCTGGAGTGAAAACCTTTCAAAACAAAACTGCCTGAAAAAATACTGAATACGAAGCTGAATATTATTTCCTTCTCTCCATGTGATCAACCCTAGGGATGATGGGCATAATGAAGATGTCCAGCTGAGATGTACAGCAGATTTTAGAATAAAGGACAGGATCAAACTCAGGGCTAATGCTTTCATGAGGATGTAAAATCATAAAAAATTGGGGTTGAATTTTATTATTTTTTCATTCAATCAACAACTTCTGTAATACTCTGTAAGATCAATTAATCAATTTCCCTCTGGGATTAATAAAGTATTTTTGAATTGGATTGAATTTGAATTGAATTGAATTGAAGATGGCGCCTGTGCTTGGCTTAGCCACAGTTATCAGCCACTTTTTCAAACTTTTCTCCACTAAACTCCTCTTTTCCACCTTGCTCCTATCTGTGATCCTCTTCAGTAGTGTCCCTGCTACCATCTCCTATGATCGCCAGACTCTTTTGTCCTTCCGTTCTTTCACAATCGCCCAAGATGCTCCGAGGATGTACCTCCCTGTTTGTTTATCTGAGTGGCGCACTGGCCCGGAGGCAAACAACGATTCCAACCAGCGCACCTCCAGCGATGTTTATCCGGTCCCGGGAAAACGTCAGAGGAAAAGAGGTAAACGAGCAGGAATCCGCTTACAGCCAGGTTTTCGTAGAGCTCATTCTATTGAAACAGCTCTTCTTATGGGCCATTCCCATCTGTACCGGGTCGGCCCGGGCCGGATAGAGTAGGTTGTTTACATATCTGGGTGGCCTGGTATTTTTCCGGGCCAACCAAGGCTCATTCTCAGCCCTCTTCTCGAGGGGGTCTGCTTCAGGCCGACCAGGGCCAACACACCCACTGCTGACAGCAAATCCACACCTTCCATTAGAGCAAGCCTCTGATAGGTGGGTAGAATCAGCCCACATGGGCTTAAGACAAGGATGTGTGGAATCAACCGGGCCAGGCTGGGGCTGACTGGGGCTACCCGGCCCGGGCCGACCCGGTACAGATGGGAATGGCCCATTAGGGTCTCTAATGTCCTTCTGACTCACAGTGATGCAGGGGACTGTTCTGTTCTGGTCCTGCTGGACCTGACTGCAGCCTTTCACACTGTTGACCATCACCTGCTACTGGAGAGGCTGAGAGACTGTGTAGGCCTATCAGGAACTGCTCTGGAGTGAATCTCCTCATCTTTCTGAGCGTTCCTTTTCTGTGGCCGTCTCCAAGTTTAGGTCCGCCACCACCTCCCTTACCCATGGTGTCCCACAAGGTTCTGTGCTGGGGTCTCTGCTCTTCCCCCTCTATCTGCTTCCTCTTCAGCACATCCTGAGCTCCTTCAAATGAATCTCCTACCATCTTCATGCAGATGACATCCAACTGTACACCTCCTTTAAGCCCTATGAGATGTCTAAGCTGCAGCTGTTACACACCTGCTTAGACTCTATCAAAACCTGGATGGCTGGGAACTTTCTACAGCTGAATGAAGATAAGACTGAGATCCTCATCTGTGCCCCAGAAAAGCTGGTTCCCAAGGTCAGAGACTCTCTTGGTCAGCTTGCTTCTCACACCAAACCCTCCGTCAGGAATCTTGGTGTGACCTTTGACCCAGCTATCACTCTGGATTCTCATGTCAGTTCTCTTGTTCGCTCTTCCTTCTTAAATCTCAGGAACATTGCTAAGCTGAGTCCCATTCTGTCTCGCTCTGAACTTGAGACAGTTCTCCACACCTTCATCTCCTCACGCTTAGACTACTGTAACTCTCTTTTCACAAATCTGTGTAAAAACTCTCTGAACCGTCTACAGGTGGTTCAGAATGCCTGTGCTCGGCTTCTGACCAAGTCCTCCAAACACACCTACTTACCTACCTCACCCCGCTTCTCCTCCAGCTTCACTGGCTGCCAGTCAACTTCAGGGTTCATTTCAAGATCCTGGTTCTGGTCTATAGGGCCTTACATGGACAAGCACCATCTTACATTGGTGATCTTCTTAGTCCCTACACCCCCAGTAGGTCCCTGAGGTCCAGTGACCATAGCCTACTGGTTGTGCAGCGCACCAGGCTAAAGCCCCAAAGGTGACAGATCATAGCGGTTTGCTCATTGGTCCCTGCACAACCAAAGAAGAGCTAGATCTGCATTCTCGGCCCTTAGACAAGCCTGTAAGTACGTATTAGAATCAGTCAAAGGAGACACACTCAGGATCTCATGTCTGCTTTTGTGTATGATTCTGTGAACAACTTCAAGCCAGGGAGCTTAAGTGCGCACAACTGAAGCCAAACAGATCTGAGCTTCATCTTCAGCATTAAGGGCATTGTCCTGGTCTGTGTGATGAAAACGCTGAGTCAAAATGAAAAGATGTAGATGTACTGATTTGTCTACATTCCAACTCTTACCCATGGTCTTGAGATTTGGAAAGTGAGCAAAGAACAAGATCCCGGATACAGATACATGGTGAAATGAGCATCTTCGTAGGCTCAGACATAAGGAGCTCTCTCAGCCAGGGGGAGCTTAGAGTGGAGTTGAGGCTATCCATGGCTAAAGGAGACAACGGACTACAACGCTACCATGTTGCCTTTCTTTGAAGGTTTTCTGGGCATGTCCCTCTCAAAAGAGACAAAGAAATCTCTTCTCAATGGTCTGGAAAAAACCCTGGGATCCCACAGGAGGAACTGGAGAGCCATTATAGCCAAAATGATGTCTGTGCTTCCTTCCTGGACCCCATGTATGTTCAGTTTGGTTCATTTATTTATTTATAAAGCACATTCTTATCAGCAGACCAAGGTGCTGAACACGATCACAAAACACACAATAAGAACAAATATAGTGTAAGAACGATTAAAATATATTAAAAATTATGAAAACATTCAGAAAGTTTAATTAACAATCATGAAACAAGTAAAACTAGATAAAAAACTATGAAAAATGATAAAAGATCACGGCAGTGTTGTGATCCCTAATTCTGAAATGCCATCACATAAAATTTAGTCTCCAAGCAAGACTTAAAAACAAGAAGCAATGGCGCCTGCCTAACACTAAAAGGCTAGGAGCATTGGAGCCAGAATTAAGATCCCCCCTCGATCTGTATTTGGAGCAGGGGACCCCCAACAGCTCCCGCTCAGCCGAGCAAGAGACCAAGAGGGGACAAGTCTGTGCAGTAGTGCTGACAGAGGGAGTAGTGCCTTGAAGAACCCTGTACACAAGTAGGAGGATCTTACATTTGGCTCTGTACTGCACCGGGAGCCAGAGCAAGGCCTCCAGCACTGGAGTGATATGTCAGAAATCTCAGAGCCGTGTTCGGGAACACTGGAGCCTTGCAACCGCCCACTCACTCAGACTGGCATAGAAGACATTTCAGTAGTCCAGTCGGGATACGAAAAACACAAGAATAACAGACTCCGGGTGTTCCCTATACAACACGGACTTGGTCCTAGACAGGCGTTGCTGATTACAAAAGCAGGACCTGTTACCTCCACAATCAGACCATCGATAAGTGGTAGAAAATGGACCAAAGAACTGATATTTTCTAATATACAACTTTTATCCAGAACTTCAACAACCCCCCAAAAAGTGTTATTAGATTGTTTATTTGATTTACAATGAGGTCCAAAAGCCTGATGTACACAAAACACAAAGCTTATATTCTAAGCTCCTAAATCATATATTCTAATTTAATTTGACCGTGGTTTCTGCTGGTATGACTGAGTGGTTTAAGATGCTACATATTACACTGAACACAAATTTGACAACTGAATAATGTAGGGACTGGACAGACCCACAGGGAGAACACAAATCTAATAAAAGTAATGAGAGCACAACATGGAAAAGAAAAAAGAACCATCAGCTGCAGCTTTAGAGAGATAAACAACCTGTCGTTTATGGTGTCTGTCACCAAAAGATCTAAATCAATGCTTATTTTAACATACTGATGTTTCAAAATGGTTAGGCCTGTGTAAAGACTCCTGGCAAGTGTATTGTCTCACAGCCAATCAAAATTAAACAGTTCCCTGCAAGTTCCCTCGCACACATTAAAGAACATTAAAACCAGTATTTGTGTTCATGTTTTTGGGTCAAATAAGGCCTACAACATAGAAGTAGTTATTATAAAGAAGCTGTGTTCTGGTTGCAAGTGTTTTGGTTTTTTTTTCTGTGTAACAAGCTTACATTAGCACCTTTGATTGAAGAAACTAATTAGACTCAACTCTTGAACAGTAAATTTGATAACATTCTCAAAAAGACGCATATGTGATTTTTTTATGGAAAAAATGAGCCTCTTCACCAGCAAACAACAAAAGGCTGTTGGCATTTGACCAAAGGGGCACCCACCCTGTTTACTCCAAACAAAGCTGTCAAGGGTTCAGGGTGCACAATGGTCACGCAGATCTATAAGAGTGCATCAAAAATAGAACACCAATACCTCTGTAGTTTCCAGGCATGTCCAGACCATTGTGAACAAGTAGCAAAAAAGATCATCTGTAGAGATGCTTCAATCTGATCACTTAATCTGAACATCCCACTATTTTCTACACCAATTCCAGATCTTAATCGTCTGAACAAGAGCAGGATTAGCCGAGCATGAAGATACTGTCTCAGGAAGAAAAGATTAGGAGAAGGAAGCAAAAAACGTCAGGATTACGAGTCTTACTCATGGTATGCCAACAACTAGCCTCTGACAGGCTAACATCAAAGCAACTCTTCCGCTGCCTTCGTTCGCTCTTCTTTCTTGAGTAAAAGATTAAACACTGATGTATTATCTCCACTAATAACACAAGACTGAATGTGTTCCCCCATCTTACGGAGTTGCTAATGCTAATGGTTAAGCCTGATTTATACTTCTCCATCTGCGCTGATACATAGACACGCAACGCCATGATATGTCGATGCAAGGGCTCTTCAGAAGGAGACACGCACAGTTTTAACAGTTTGTTGAAAGTAACAGAGACTGCAAGCCTGTGATTGGTCAGGTCACCACTTGCTTCATCAACAACACAGCCATTCCAACTTCAAAAAAATAAAAGGAGTACCAAAGAAATCTAGTGGCAGACATGAAACAGATCAAAGAGCGTCTCACAGAAAGAGTCAGAAAACCTTAATTTTATACATCTTTGATTGAAGGAGCACAAAGATATGCAGCAAACCTTTTCATTTCATTTGTCCTTATTCACTTACAAAATTTTCAGAAAACGTGGGTTTAGAAGTGGCGACTGCATGAAGAGGTTGAGGAGAGCAACGGACAAATTTGTCCATGTTAAAAAGTCTCTGAACTACATAA